CTTTCCCTAAGAAGCTTTTCTCAGGGCTGTTGTTCAAAGGAACACACTTTCAGAAACAGGTCTGAAAGGTTCCCTGCCAAAATATTAATAGTGATTATCACAGAACTGTGGGATTTAGGGTGGTTTTTGCTTTTTTCCCTTTCTCCTTTCTAAGTTCGTTTAGCTGAAAAAAAAATTACAACAAACGTGTTTATTTTATAAACCAGAAAGATAATAAAGATGTTTGGGGGTGGAGGGGGAGCAACTAGGTGCCAGAGGACTAGAAGGGAAGGCAGATACGAGCTGGTTTGCAGAAGCAGGAAAGAAAGCCAGGCTGGCAAGAATCCCTGGGAGGATGAGAGAAGCAGAAAACACAGAGGGCACTGCCAGTTCACCTACAGGAGGGAGAGAGAGGGAGATGGGGGCTCAAATCCACAAAGATCACAGCAGTGCTCCGTGATTGAGAATGTTGTCATACACAAACACTCCCAGCATGCCCTTGGGAAGACCTTGCAGGGGGCCGCTGGGAAGGGCTGGTCCTGACGCCACCTGCACCAGCGGTGGGGGGGCGGGCATGAGTATGAAAGTATATGTGATGCTGAGACTTCATAGCAGAGTATTTTGATTAAGTCAGCTTAAAATGAGACTCCTGCTAATTGTATCCACAGACCACTCTTTTTTCAATTTCTCATTATTTATTTATACCCTGCCTTGTTCTGGGGGAAAAAAACAATTAAGAATGGCTCACAGCATTCATAAAATAAGACTAAATACTGTAAAATTAAAAGCAGATGGAAGAAGACAGGAGAACAAGGATGGGTGCCAAGAGGATCCAGCAAGGAGGCTTCTTCTTGGTCCTCTTCCCATTGTCCAGGTGGACAAGATGGCGCAGTAGAATTCCTTAGGGTACAGACAAGGGGACGGCCAACCTGAGCTGGGGTATCAGGTCCCACCATGGGCCCAGGCCCTGTCCGAGGTATGCTCTCAATACATATCTATTGAATGAATACACACATTTGACATCAAAAAGTCAAAACTGCCTCAGGTTTCCATCGGTGACTCTCAGGTTGTGGAACCACTGTTGGGACAGAGCTGAGATTTCCCAGGATTAAGATTTGCGTGGCTTGGAGACCAGTGTTTTCTCAGGAGAAGACCTTGAAGAGGGAACAAACCAGCCCTCAGAAGCAGACTTTCCCTCATACCCATTAGGATGGCTATTATGAAAAGAAAAAAGAAAAAAACAAAACAGAAAATAACAAGTGTTGGCGAGGAGGTGGAGAAATGGGAACCCTTGTGCACTGTTGGTGGGGATGCCAAATGGTCCAGCCACTGTGGAAAACAATATAGAGGTTCCTCAAAAAATTAAAAATAGAATTACCATATGATCCAGCCATTCTACTTCTGGGTATATAACCAAAAGAGTTGAAAGCAGAGACTCTGAGAGATATTTGTACACCCGCGTTCACAGCAGCATTATTCACAATAGCCAAAAGGTGGAAGAAACCCAAGTGTCCATTGATGGATGAATGGATAAACAAACAACAAAGGAACAACAACAACAACAACAACAACAGCAACAAAAATATATATATATAATTATTCAACATCAAAAAGGAAGGAAATTCGTTAGATGCTACACATGCTACGACATGGATGAACCAACCTTGAGGACATTACGCTAAGTGAAACAAGCCAGACACAGAAAGACAATACTGTATGATTCCACTTATATGAGATACCTAGAGTAGTCAAATTCATAGAGACAGAAAGTAGAATGGTGTTTGCCAAGGGCTGGGGGTGGGGGCGGAGGGTGAAATGGGAAGTTAGTGTTTAATAGGTACAGAGTTTCAGTTTTGCAAGATGAAAGAGTTCTGGAAATGGAATGTTGGTGATGGTTGCACAACAAGGTGAATGTACTTAATGCCCCTGAACTGTACACTTAAACGTGGTTAGGATGGTAAATTTTATACTGTGTATATTTTACCACAAAAACAATTAAAGAAGAAAAGCAGGTGATTTCCAAAAGGAGGCTGTGAGCCGGGAACTATGGGTCTACCAGCTGTCACATCTAGGGGGTATGGGAGAGCAAGGGGTGCCAGAGAAGGCTAGGGACTTCCAAGAAGACAATTTTAGCAAGGCCCCTTCTCTCTTGGTTGGCTAGAGAGACTCAAGGTCTCCCTGATCAGCATAGCTCCTGGGATTTCCCTGGTGGCGCAGTGGATAAAACTGTGCTCCCAATGCAGGGGGCCCAGGTTCCATCCCTGGTCAGGGAACTAAATCCCACATGCATGCCACAACTAAGAGTTTCCATGCCACAACTAAGGAGCCCTGGAGCCATAACTAAGGAGACCTGAAGCTGCAACTAAGACCTGGCTCAACCAAATAAATATTTTTTAAAAAAACAAACAAACATAGCTCCTGCCCTAGAGAAACTACCTAAGGTCATAGTGTTTATTGATTTAGTCAACAAGTATTCACGGGGCACCTACTATGTGCCAGGCATCATGACACAAACCCTGTCCTTGTGTATCTTGCATTCTTTTAGGGGGAGATGCCCCCAAAGCAAACAAGAAAGTATAAAATCGAGATAGGAACCAAAAGTACACACCAGTTTGATTCCATTAGATAGCATTCTAGAAAATGCAAAAGAATCTAGAGTGACAGGAAGCAGATCGGTGGTTGCCTGGGGCTGGTGGTGGATGAAGGGGTCAAGTGCCAAGGGCACGAGGAAAGCTTTGGGAGTGATGGAAATGTTCTGTATCTTGATTGGTGATGGTGATTTCATGGGTGTGTACATCTGTCAAAACTCATCCCACTGTACACTTTAAATGTATGCTGTTTACTGTGCATACATTCTATTTTGCTTGATAAAATATTGTTTTAGTTGAGTGATAAGCTGCAAAGTAGTGGGTTTCTCAAAGGTCACATTTCAAGTGAGGCCTGAAGGAAGAGATGGGGCCATCTCGACAAGGCTGGAGCAGGGGTGGGGAGGAGTGTCCTAGGTGAATGGAACAGGATTTGCCAAGGTCCAGAGATGTCAGGAGAGCGCAGCACATCCGGAAAGCTCAAGTGGCTGAGGATGCCCAGGGGTCCCGGTTGTGTCTGGTGGGCCTGGTGAAGGAGAGATGAGGTTGAAGATGAGAGTGGATTGTTGTACTTTGTGCTGAGGGTGATGGGGTGTGGCTGAGGCTTTTTAATTTGGAGATTGACACAATCAGGTTAGCATGGGGAAGATTTCTCTGGCCTCAGTGTAGAGAACGAATTGCCAGAAGGGCAAGAATGAAGGTTGGGGCCCATTAGGGAGCTGTTGGCATAACACAGGTGTGAGATGGAGGCCCAGATGAAGAGCAAGGAGAGTGGCGGTGGGGTCAGAGTGGAGAGGAAAGCCTCGGGGCAGTTGTAATTGAGTAAATGGGGGTTGAAAGAAGGCAGAGGCAAGATGGACGCCCAGACTTCTGAACTGGGCAACCCATGGAAGGAGGTGGCATTTCCTGAATAGGAAACCCTGGAGGAGAAGCAGGTTTAGGGGCTGAAAGGCTGGGTCCAGGTTTGGACATTTGAGTCTGAGCTGCCTACAAGACGGCCTGGGCAGGTGTTCAGCAGACCGTGGACACTCAGGACAAAGTCTGAGCTGGAGACTCCAGGAGGCATGCACATGGGGTTGGAAGCAGGGGCGAGGGCAGATTAACCTCCCAAAGATGCTCACAACATCATCTTCCATCGCAGGTGGTCCTTTTTAGTGACCCTGGCATCCCCCACAAAGCAGTGCAGTCCATTGCTCCACTCCCTTTAATATGGGCGGATCCTGTGACTGCTTTGACCAATAGGACGTGGGAATGGAAAGTTTGACCAATGGGACATGGGGTGAAAATTTTGGCCAATAGAACACAGGGATGGAAGGCTCAACCAATAGAATGCAGGGATGGAAGGCTTGACCAATAGAACGCAGGGATGGAAGGCTTGACCAATAGAATGCAGGGATGGAAGGCATGCCCAGCCAGGTCCAGGAGTGACCCTTAAGTGTCCTGATAGCTTCTGCTTCCAGGCTCTCAGAGGCCTGCCTCCATGTTCGTAGTGCATGTTTTCCAAGACCGCTGTTCTGTAAGAAACCCAAGCCATGTGGAGACAAAGAGAGTGGTCGAGGAGCACCGAGGCCCAGCACGTTCCTGAAGAAGCCACTTTGTAAGTGAATGCTCCAAACCCTGACCCTGACTGATGCCACTGAGATCAGATGCAGGCTGTCTAGGCGAACTCTTGCTGGTACCCAAGAGCTGCACAGATTTAAGCTGTTAAATCCGGAGATAGTTTGTTATTCAGCAAGGTAAATAATCAACCAAGACAATAGCAAATGGCCCACTGAGCAAGCAGATCCTGCGACAGGGGGACAGGTAGAGGAACGGAGGGTCCAGACTCACCTCTCAGAATAATCGCAGAGCCAGGAGGAGAGCTTTGAGGTATCAGTGTCGACAGTGTTGCTTCTTGTTCACTCTTACGCCACTCTTT